CCGGTGAGAGCCCAGAACCACCTCTCCCAGTGCATGCTGGGAGCCCTGCTGTCTCCCAGTGCGTGCTGGGAGCTCTGCTGTCTCCCAGTGCGTGCTGGGAGCTCTGCTGACTCCCAGTGCATGCTGGGAGTTCTGCTGACTAACGGCGTGCTGCTGTCAGTGTTTCAGCACAGTGCGGTTCTGGACCTGCAGTGCCCCCGCGGGCTGTCGGAGCCGGGCTTCCTGGACCTGCTGCGCTCACGCTGCCCCCTGCTGGCGGATGGACGGCCCTTCGATGTCTTCATCGCCGCCAAGAACCGGCGGCTGCAGCCACTGGCGGCGCAGAGCCTGACGCCGGAGCAGATCTGCTCAGGCGGGAAGCCGACGCTTTACATCCGGCTGAAGGTCCGACCAGAACCGACCCAGTTATTCTCATAACTTTTTTCTCTGTCTTAATACTCCATCATATTTTCACTCATTCAGCTCCATGTTTTAATTTCCCTTAAAAAACAAACTGAATGCTAAATTTACGTTATGTCGGCCGATCGTCACCATTTTTAAACAGATTTTACTCCGATAAGTAAATCTGGACCAATAAGTGAGGGAGAAAACTGACTGTTTACCTAAATTGTTTAATTTTAAAATAATAAGATTAAGTTCAGTTTGAGTCATGAAAACGTGAAGCTTCATCTAATTTGTTTTCTTTCAGGAAAGCGAGGAGCCATCTTCATCCGACGCTGCGGCGATGAAGAGAGATAAAACCGACCTTCATTCCTGGTAAACGACTGATATCAGCTTTCAGTTCCAGGTCCAGTCAGAGCTCAGCGGCAGCGTTCTCAGTTCATACTCAAAAGATTCATCTACTCATAACTGCACTGTAAACTAAAACACAGATGTTTTTATCTGAATGATTCCCTGAAAGCTTCTGAGAGACAAAGACATTAGATTTCTGTCGGCATCATGAGCCACGGCCCAGCGAGCCGCTGCAGCTGCACTGAGCTGCCTGCTCGCAATCATTGGTTGGAAATTAAACGTCCAGTTCATCCAGACGCTACATGCCAGTAATGCTGCACGTCTGACCAGTTTGGATGTGGGGAAATCGTCACAATGAGAAACTTTCTGAAGCTGCACAATCGTGATAGTTTCATCACTGCAGGAAGTTTTCCAAAGAGGAAAACTTCCTGTAGAAGCTAAAACCTACCTTCCTCTTCAGGCCGAGTTTCTTTTGCACTTCGGCATCCTGAAGATTGATTCCATCTGTAGTTCCACATGTGGGAATATAAATGTTCCACATGTGGGAATGTCTGCAGTCTGAACGGTGATTGTCGCTTTTTTCTGACTTTTACGTCATTAATGTGAGACACGAGTCATAATTCTGCACCAGAGGAAGCCAGAAGCCAAGCTGTGGCACCTGGTGGCCCCTGGTGGCACCCGGTGGCCCCTGGTGGCCCCTGGTGGCACCTGGTGGCCCCTGGTGGCAGCTGGTGGCACCTGGTGGCCGCTGCCACACAAACAGTGGCAGCGGCCACCAGGGGCCACTTTCCATCAAGCAAATCGAGTGAAAATATTCCAGGTCTTACACAGATTAATACCAAAAACATCATCATTTCAAATATAATTATTCACTAACAGGCAGCATAACTGGCACATTTTCTGCAAACCGACATCAGCGGTTTGGAGCTGGCAGCTGATACCGAAATACTGGCCTGCAACTTTTCGGTGGCAGATGCCATCTAGCTGTGCAACCTGGTTTCAGCTGCCATGAACTGAGGTCAACCCTGCTGCAGGTCTCAGCTTTGCCAGACTGATGGCATCCTGGATATTGATTCATTCATCTGTTGGAGCAGAGAGGCATCCAGCTATGTAGCTGTGGGCAGCCATGATTTCAAACATGTTTGTTTTTGTTGTTGCCTCTGCAGCCCTGTTGACAGTAGTGAGGAAGCCGACCCAGGCCTTCAGGCTGAAGATGACAACTGGAGCCCTGATCCTGAACCGCAGACCGCCAAAAGGTCGAGGAAACGGAAGGAGAAAAGGGCGACGCAGAAGACCTTGGGGAGCAAGAGGTCCTGTAAGGTGTGCGGCGCCTGGTACAGGCAGCTGGGCAGTTTGATCAGCCACGTCTGGAACCACGCAGGCGACCCGCAGGGCGTCTGCGGCGCCTGCGGAGAGAAGTTCGAGTCTGCAGACGAGCTAAAGGAGCATCTTCGAAACCACCAGAAGGTCCACAGCTGCCAGCACTGCGGGAAGACGTTCGTGTCCGTCCAGAGCCTCACCCTCCACGAGGCGAAGCACACCGGAGAGAGTCGGTTCAGATGCGGCGTCTGCAGTAAAACCTTCACCAACATGGCCTCCCTGAACTACCACCAGTGGCTGCATGTGGAGGACAAGCCACACAAGTGTGACGTCTGCCTCAAGACCTTCGGCTTGGAGTCGCACCTCATGTCCCACAAAAAGCTGCACACGGTCAAGGAGAAGCACGTCTGCGACGTCTGCAACAGGTCGTTCCGGCTTCGCCGTGCCATGACCCAGCACCGCCTGACCCACTCCGACGACAAGCAGTACGCCTGCGACGTCTGCGGGAAGCGCTTCAAGCTCGAGGGTTCGCTGAAGGTCCACGCCAAGACGCACACGGAGAGGGACCGGACGTTCCTGTGCCACGTCTGCTGCCGGACGTTCCTGTGGAAGGGAACGCTGATGGCTCACCTGAAGACCCACAGCAGCGTCCGGCCATTCGTCTGCGCCGTCTGCAGCAAGGGCTTCTGGTTCAAGTGCGACCTGAAGAAGCACATGAGGATCCACTCCGACGAGGCGCCGTACGAGTGCTCGGAGTGCGGCCGCCGCTTCAAGCAGAAGGCCAACCTGGACAGCCACATCAAGATCCACATGGGCATCAAGAGGTTTGTGTGCGGCGAGTGTGGGAAGGAGTGCTCCCGACGGGAACACCTGAAGGTCCACATGAGGACCCACAACGGAGACAAGCCCTACAAGTGCAGCGTCTGCGACCGGGCCTTCACCCAGAGCCACTGTCTGAAAACGCACATGAAGAGTCACCCCACGGAGGGAAACCTGGACCCGACCCAGACTCAAGACATGGACGAAAACCCGGCTCTGGACCCGCATCAGAGCCACGAGATGGAAGGAGACCCGGTTCTGGACCCGTCAGAAACCTGAGCTGATACCTTAAATTCATGACTTTATTCCTATCAGACTTTTACATGTAATAATTAACTTGTAATGACAAAAAAATGAAATAAAACAGTTTATCACTGGAGTGCTTTCCCAGTTCCTTCAGCTGCCCTACAGTTGGTCACGGAGAACCGCTGGGCGCAGAACTCGGACCTGGTGCAATTATTTAACAAAAATTTCCATTTTCATCTTGACGATAGTTGGTTTTATTTATCCGTAGTGCCTGACAAATTAAATTAACCACTAGAAATTCTTGAAGACTTTTAAGTTCCAGCTGCCAAACATCAGAGAATAAAACATTTTTCTTTTCTTTTTTTCTCAAAACAAAACCTCCTTCAGAGGAATCCTGGTCATATTGTAAATGGCCTGCTAGCTACAGCGCTAGCTCAGCCCACGAACAGTCATTTTGATTAACATTCAGTCATTCAATTGTATGGAGGGTCAGAGGTGACAAAGTTAAATATACTACAAAATGTGTAAGTTATAAAATAATTAAAATCATTGCATAATTAAATTTACCACTATCATTAAGTATACCATTAAATTATTAAATATATAAATATCATTACATTTTTAAATATGCAATTAAATAATTAAATGTCCAGTAAAAATATTTACCTTTTTAAATAATTATTTGTAATAAAACATTTTAAAGAAAATTTACATAAAATATATTTATTTCACTCTATTTCTATTTCATGGCCCCAGTGAGAGAGCTGTTATAAAATATTCTGTCAACTCCAACCATTTTTTATGTAGATGTTTGTGGTAAATCAAATAATGGTTTTAATAATTTTCTAATGCATTTAATTATTTAGTGGTAGACTTCTTTATTTTTATTTAATTTTGTCACCCCTAGCACTCCGTAGATTTAACCAGAGTTCATTGAAGTAGAAATCAATGCAGAAACAACCTGGGGGAATGAGGAGGATCAAATGGATGAAGGGGAGAGTCGGCTGGAAAAGCTGTGTGTGTGTGTGTGTGTGTATGTGTGTGTGTGTGCGTGTGTGTGCGTGCGTGTGTTGTCCAATCACAACTGCACAAACACAAAACATCAATAAATCATCTGATTTTAAACTGGCTTCATCAGGACACCACTGACTGAGACGTGGGATTAACTGCACACAGAAACAACAATTAATCTTTTTTCAAATTTATTCAAACGTATCAATGCTGAAAACAGTGAAAATATAGAAAACCATTTAAACAACGCAGCTTTAGAGGTTTTATTGACACATCAAATCCAATTTCTTATCACTTTTCACTGTATGAAAAACGCCCGTCCCTAATGCGCATCAAGATAATCAGCAAACATTGTATGTAGAACTTGAACTGATAGGAAAACTCGTTCAATTCGTTCTGGACAGAGTGTGGTGCAACGAGCTGTACGGCACGGGTCAGAACGCTACTTTTAGGACCGGCGTGTTCATCAGGAGAGCATTTCTACCGCTAATTGTACTCTTCTTGGGCGTGGCGCCTTGCTACTACAACAGCAGTAAGAAGTAATATCCTCCATTGATTGGGGGACAAAATGTCACTGTCCCCTAATCAATGGATGCCAGTAGCTCCACCCTAATCATACCCTACCCTTATCCTACAGCAGAAAAGGGGCCAGGGTCGGTTCTATTGTCAGATTTTACAATGGAAATCGACAAAAATAGAGAACCACACTGCACCGACCAATGCCGTACCACATGCTGCAGTGTTTAGGTTGTCAGGAGTGTAAAGGTTCACCCTCCAGTGGCTCTCAGAGTGAACATCCCTGTGGTTTCTCTTTTCATATCACGGATCTTCTCATGCGCCATCAGTGAGGTTTCCAGTGTGAAGGTTTTCCCGCAGAGTGTGCAGGATGATGGTTTAAAGCAGGTTTAAATGATACTGTGGCTCTCTTGTCCTCCAGACATCAGTGAACCTCCCTGTGGTTCCTCCAGCGTGTTTTCATACCACGGATCGAGGTGAAGGTTCTGTTCTACGGGAATCTCTCCGGTGTGGATCCTCATGTGGTCCTCCAGGGCCTCCTGCCCGTTACTCACCTGGCCACAGATGGTGCAGACACACTGCTGGATGGCTGAGTGTGTCTTGATGTGGTTGACCAGGTAGGCCAACCGTTTGAAGCAGCGCCCGCACTGTGAGCACTTGTACGCCGTCTCGTTGGAGTGGACGATCATGTGGACCTTCAGAGTGTCTTTGGACAGGAAGCTCATGTTGCACAGGCTGCAAACAAACGAGCCGTCTGTGCCGTGAGTCTTCGTGTGGTTCATCAGGTTCTGGTAGGTTTGGAAAGTCTTGTGGCAGATTTGGCAGGTGAATGGGCAGTCACTCGTTGTGTGGGTTTTCTCGTGCGTCTTCAGGGAGGTTTCCAGCGCGAAGGTCTTCCCGCAGAGTTTGCAGGAGTAGCCCAGGGTTCCCGTCGAGGCGTTGCCGTAGACGCCGCCGTGGCCCTTTGTGTGGGCTACAAGATCTGACTTCATATCAAACGATTTTGGACAAAGATGGCACCTAGCAGGTCGTTTCTCCAAGTGGACCCGGCTATGCCCGTTCAAGGCTGACATGGTGGAGAAGGTCTTGCTACAAACGTTGCATTTAATCCGAGTCTCCGCCACCTGACTCATCGGAGCGTCTGTGACATGCTTGGCAATGTGGCGGTTGAGGGTGACGCTGGACAGCAGGTACTTCCCACAAATCCAGCAGCTGTAGCCCTTTTTGTGACTTGGGAGGTGTTGCTTTAACGCTTCCACAGACTCAAACTTCTCTCCACAGACGCCGCAGACGCCGTGAGGCTCGTTGACGTGATTCCAGATGTGGCTGATCAGACTTCCCAGCTGCCTGTACCAAGTCCCACACACTCTGCACGTCAGCTTGTCGGTTTTCCTCCGTGTCTTCGGCTCAATGTCCTGATTATTGTTGACAGATTCGTCTAAAGACTCGTCCGTGTCACTGCTGGAGTCACTGGAGTCATCGTCATCGTCCGATTCCAGGTCGTCGAGTTCGGACGTAGAGCTGACGGACAGAGCGTCTCCTCCGGGATCTGATTCACCTTCAGGAGAGCTGCAAACAAGGGAAACATTTAAATTATCTTGTAGACGTGCTGAAATGCTGCAGTTGTTGAGAAGCTCTGATAATCCACCTCATTTACTTTTGCCACTCTTCTTTAAATATCTGTCTGTGGTTATGATTGAACTCTTCTGACATTTGGGGTCATAATTCCCCAAAATCCCTTCCTCCTGTTTCTACGGATGTTTTCACACCTGATAGTCTCAGTTCTGATAGTTTCAGTTCGACTGGGAACCAAAGTATCAACATTTGTTCCATCTCCAGCTGCTGTGGTTCTCTTTCTCTCTACTCTGAGTTAAACCAACCAAACCCTTTGAGCAACTTGTTCCCCTCCTCGCCTGTGGGGGCGCTGCACCAAGAACCACTGAAGGAAATGACACAAAACTCTCTGAAGAAGCTGATCACAACTTCCTTCAAAAATGTAAACAAAAATGGAGTCAGATTTTAGCAGTTGGAAGATTTCTCTTTGGTAAAACATCACGAGTCTTCTCTGTTTTGGTGGCGTTTACCCAGAATGCACTGCGATATAGTCCACTTCCTCCTTTTGGAGAGGTCTCAGGTCCACTTGGCGTTTACATATACATTCACACCTCCCCAAACAAACCAGACTTTCTAGCCAAACTGGAGTTGCTAATTTGCTACTAGCGGAGCTAATTTTTAGCTTAGCGCTTTAACTGTTAACTTTGAAACTTTTAGCACACTTAGCTTCCCATACATAATTTTTTCTGGATAAATTGTAAAGCATAAATTTACTTTGCTGTTTTGCAAAGTTTCGGTTGAATAAAGCTTCCCAAAAGAAAATATATAAGACAAGGCATGATTGGTCGACGGTGGTTAGCCGAACGGATGCTATTAGCATGCTAAGTGTTACATGACAAGGCATGATTGGTCAACTCATTGGCAGAAAGTTAAAGATATAATAGTGTAACTCTGCAGTTCAACATTGTTTTTAGCTTTAGCATTAGCTTCTGCTAAATACTATTTGGTTTAGCACCTTAGCATGAGCAAAACTAATGTTTATGATTAGTGCTTTAGGGTTAGCATGACTAACTTTCTAGTTAGCAGTTCTCACCCTGTAGTTTGATTAGAAACAGGCCGTGTGTGAATCCTCCCATCTTACCTGGTTCGTAGTCCTGATTTGTCGTCGTCGGTCGGATCAGGATCCAACGTGAGCTGAGCCACAGAACCTTCTTCCTGCTTCACCTCCACCTTCACAACTTGGTTCTGAAACAGATCGAGTCCAAATTAACAAACAAGAACCCGGACCCAGAACTTCGCTTCGTCTGCAGCACTCACCCAGCAGACCTGGGTTTCCATGGCGACCGTGTTGCTCTGATCGGCTTCCTGCTCCTGGTGTTGGTCTGCTGAGCTGATGGACCCGTCAACGGCGCCAACAAAGCTGCAAATGGAGAACGGGTTTCAGTAGCTAACGGATCTGAAACCATCCGGGCTTTCCGCGGTTCCGACAGAGCTTTCCTTTGGACTTTAGCTGCTTTCTAATGAATGTAGTCACCTCGTATGGAACCCGGTTTCATCGCTCTTCAGAACCACCGGGTCGGTAGCTGCAGACTCAGAGGGCAGATGTTGACCAGCCTCCATCTTTACCTGCGGTTTCTGAAACAGACGAGCTCAGAAATGACAAACTGGACAAGGTGCAGTTCACAGAACACAGTCCAGATATCTGAGGTTTAGTATCGGCCGGGACCGACCCAAATTACTTAAAACGTTTCCTTTTTTCAAATAAACACAGACACTGTGCAGAGTTATCACATTAATGTGTAATTTGTTACATTTATATGTATCGTATCGGCTGATTTCAGTGAAAAAAGTGAATCATTCATTTCTAACAGAAACCAGATGAACAGTGATTCATTTCCAGCTCTAAACTTTTGAACTGAACTGTGTTTATGAATTATAAACAAAATTAATCGAGTCAAATCAGAACAGCCAAACTCTTTTTAGTTTTTGGATTATGATTGTTTACAATCCATGAAAATATTTTAAATTTGGTCTAAAATCCAGTTTGAGAAG